TAAATGCATTCAGACATGCAATGTTTACATCAGCTTAAAGATTTTGCTATTTATAACTCCATTCATCTATAGCAAAAATATTAACATTTCTTCCTTGTGTCTTTTAAAATATACAGCCTACTATTTAAATTGCTACTGTTTTGTTAGGTTCCACGAGGGGCACATTCCCTGTGCATTCTAGTAGTGTGATTAGGTGAGAAAGAGGCTTTCCACATGAAGTGGTTTCTTTCTTTCTCTTTTAGATTTATTTATTATACATACAGTGTTCTGCCTGCAGGCCAGGAGAGGACACCAGCTCTCATTATAGATGGTTGTAAGCTATCATGTGGTTGCTGGGGATTGAACTCATGACCTCTGGAAGAGCAACCAGTGCTCTTAATCTCCGAGCCATCTCTCCAGTCCCACGAAGTGTTTTCTAATGGTGACCTTTAATTTCATCAGCTTTCACTCTCTTTACCTTGGTCAGCACAGAATTTAAGAACAATTTTGTAAATATAACCTGACTACAGTTTCCCCTTCCTGTACTCCTGCTAGCTCCTCCCCACCTCATCCCACCTCTTGATCCCCTCTGCTTCTGTCTCTCATCAGGAAAGAACAAACATAACAAAATAAAATACAATAATATAAAACAAAATCCGTCACGACAGAGTTGGACAAGGCAAATCAGCAGAAGGAAAAGAGCCGCAAAAGAATTCCTAAGAATCAGAACCCACTTGCTCACATTCTGGCGTCACGTAAACACTCAAGGATGAAAGCTGTGAGGACCTGGTGCGGACCTGTGCAGGCCCTGTGCATGCTGCTTCAGTCTCTGTGAGTCATAGGAGCTTTCTTCAGATGGCCTCGTCCTGGTGGCCTCCATCCCATCTGGCTCACACACTCTGTCTTCCTTCTCTTCGCCGGGCTTCCTGAGCACTGAGGGGAGGAATTGGATGGAGGCATTACATCTGCAGTTGTGTTCCAAGGTCTCACTCTCTGCAGTGTCTACCTGTGCTTCTCTGCATCTGTCTCCATCTCCTGCAGGAGGAAGCTTCCCAGATGATGGCTGAATACGGCACTGATTTGTGAATATAGCAGAATATCACTAGAAGTCATTTTGTGGTTACTTTATTTCTTTAGACCACTGGCATTTTAGGTTTCATCCTGGGTCTCTGGGCTATTTGTCTCTGGTTCTTGATCACCTAAGCAGTATTGGGTATGGGTACCATCTTGTGGAATGGGCCTTAAGAGTGGTATGCAAACCTAGCGCAACAGAAAATCCCTAAAATATATGAAGGTGATCCCTAATAATATTTCCAAATAACGAGGGAGACAGAGCCCCAACTGGCCATCTCTTATCATCAAATGAAGAAGCTTCCACTACCAGGACTGGGTTGTATCCAACTGACATATTGGACAAATGGGTCCCAAACAACCTAGGCTGTTACTAAGACAATAGGTTGCTCTTGCAAACTGACAGCAAGGCCCTACTCAAAAAGACACCTACTCAACTCATTGAACATGAGGAGGGCGAGCTGGTGCCTACATAGAACCTTCACCCCACTTTTTCAGTCTCTTTGGTGCAGGAAGGTACCCTGCAGGACATCAAAAGAGAAACCAGCCCAGCCACAAAAACTGTGGGCTACAATCTGTCCTGTCTGCAAATATTCTAGGGCAACGGTAGAGCAAAACTTGTGGAAGTAACCAACCAAGGTTGAGTTTTTTTTTTTATTATGTTTATTTTTAGATATCTTTGTTTGGGTTTATATACATGAGTGTGGTGTTCATGGAGGCCAGAACAAGGCATTAGATTTCCTGAAGTTGGAGCTATTGGTGCTTATTAGCCAGCTAACGTGGGTGCTAGGAAGTGAACTCAGGTCCTCTGTAAGAGCAGCAAGACCTCTTAATCACTGAGGCCCCTTCTAGGCCCTCAACATAGGATTTTATCCCAGGGTTTTGTTTTGCAATGCTAGGTAAAGAGAATGCTTCATGAGTAGAAACCATATGCCTTCCTGAAAAGATTAAGACAAGAGCTCTTTATGTAAATCTAGTTAAAACTTTCCAACCTTAATAATCTTTATCTTAATTTTATATGCTACAGTTAAATTATATTTATCTCTGTGTATATGTGTGTTTTTCTGTATCTTTATGTCTATAGACATAGAAGGCATGTGGAGGTCAGAGGAAAACTTATGTAAATCAGTTCTATCCTTCTACCATGTAGGTCCTAGGGATTGAACTCAGGTCATCAGGCTTGGTGACAACCGTCTTTATCTACTAAGCCATCTCATGGTCCTTGTGTCCCTGTATGTTATTGTTTCCTCAGACTGATTGTAGCCTGAAGAGTTGCTTCTCCATGCTGGTATGGCACTGTTTGGCCTTCCCTCTTGAAGATCACATGTAGAATGATTCTTCCTGGGGAATATGTTTTTTACTTTGATTCTCCTATACCTTTTTCCTTTCTAGTTAAATGAAAGAATTATCTTTGTCAGGAAAATGGGAACAAAAGAAATGCATCATAACATCTCTTAGTAACTTTTATAGAGGATTTACTTATCAATTGATTGGCTGTAAGATCAGCTCGTCCTCACTGTGTCTTTGAAGAACTTGAATATTAATGTTTCTCTCTTTTTAAAAAATTATCTGTTTTATTTTTTTGTGTGGCTGTTTTGCCTACAAGTATTTATGTAGAGCTGTAGGCTCATATTTCTATATGATATGGCAGCCAGGCTCTCAAGTCATAGTTCGTACCTGAAGTGGTCAGGTACTCTTCCAGACAGGCTGTTGCTACCCTAACAAAAGGTCAGGATGTTGTTTCGCTTCTTCTCTGTAATTTGGAGGATGCCTGATGTGTTGTAATAGGAGCGGCAGGGCTACGTCCCCAACACCCCAGCCTCCTGCTAGCTTATGCCCGAAATAACAACACACAAACTGTATTCATTTAAACACTGCTTGGCCCATTTCTATATAGCCTCTTCTAGGCTAATTCTCACATATTAATTTAGCGCATTTCTAATCATCTGTGTAGCACTACTAGGTGCACTTACCGGGAAGATTCTAGCCTACGTCCATCCTGGGTCGGAGCTACCTGGGAGAGAGGAGCCTGGCATCTCTGCTCCAGAGAGCAGAGCTGTCAAGTCTGAGCTCACTTCCTCTTCCTCCCAGCATTCTGTTCTGTTTACTCCTCCCACCTATGTTTTAACCTATCAGGGCCAAGCAGTTTCTTTATTGCTTAACCAATGAAATCAACAGATTGATATATGACACTCCTACATCACTGATGTAATTTAGAGATGCTAATTCAAGCCTATTTGACTGAGCTAGCATACTGACCAGGAAAACGTGACAGCAAGCACAGGTAGATGTGGACGGGGCTAAAAGGCATTCACCTGGTTACCTAGGAAACAGAATTCTAATGATTTTCCCCCTTAGTTTGCATTTTGGGATAAAGATTGTTTGGAGAATAAATGAGAGGAATTTTCAAGATGTGAACTCAGAATTTCATGAGGGCTCATTGAGAATCTCCCTCCTGATAAAGCCATGTGAGTTGTTTCTTTATTCCGTGCCTCCATGCTGGTTCAAAGAGATAGTTTATGTTGGTTCAGAGAAATAATTTTGGTCTGGTCTGCCAGCAGACTGTGACATAGGAGCAGCAAGCACATGGATACTTGTGCCCAGAGAGGTCAGAAGAGGACATAGGATCTTGGGGAACTGGAGTTACAGATGGTTGTGAACCAGTATGTGGGTGCATGGAATTAAACCCAGGTTTTCAGAAAGAACAATGTGTGCTCTTGCTCACTGAAAAGTCTCTCCAGGCCCTACCTCTCTCTTTTGATTAGCATATTTTCACCATGTGAAATAAGGGGTGTGATGGTTAATACTGGCAACTTTACAGGATCTAGAAGCCATGATGAGACAAAGCTGGAAACATCTGTGAGGTAGAGTCTGCATTAACTGAGGTGAGAACAGCCACACCACCCACACCGTGCCATGGCCTGGGGTCCCAGACTGAATGATTGCTGGTTCCCAACTCACCTTGCTGAGGTCATGACTTCCCCTCCATGATGGATCTGTGCTCTCTGACTCCCCTTGCTGAGGCCATGACTTCCCCTCCTGGACAGACCTGTGTTCTCTGCCATACCCTCCTGAGGCCATAACTTCCCCTCCATGATGGATCTTTGCTCTCTGAAAATGGTTCTTTCTTCCTCAGATAGCCTTTGTCAGGCATTGATGTAGCCATGAGAAAAGCAGATCTTGCCGAATTTGCCTTTAACGAATTGATGGAGGAGTTAATTTCATTGGCTAATAAAGAAACTGCCTTGGCCCATTTGATAGGCCAGTCCTTAGGTGGGTGGAATAGACAGAGCAGAATGCTGGGAGAAAGAAGCCGAGTCAGCCAGTAGCCATGATTCTCTGATCCCAGACGGATGTAGGCTAGAATCCTTTCTGGTAAGCTACACCTCGTGGTGTTACAGGGATATTAGAAATGGGTTAGATCAATATGTAAGAGCTAGCCAATAAGAGTTATAACTAATGGGCCAGTCAGTGTTCAAAAGAATACAATTTCCATGTAATTATTTGGGGGCAAAAGCTAGCCATGCAGGAGCCAGGCGGCGGGAAGCGGCCCGCTGCTCCTCACTACAACGAATGACACTATTAACTCTTTCTCCCCATCACTCTGTTCTTCTACTTTACAGACAGTATCCCTTCTACTTGCAAAACTTACCTTTTCTTTTATTTAGACTTGATTATTTGAGAAAACATGCAGTGTTTGTGTTTCTGAGCCTGGCTCATTTTACCTAGTATAGTTACGTCTGGTCCCATCCATTTTCCTTGAAATGACTTACTTCATGGCTTAAAAACGCTTCATTGTGAATACATCACACATTTTCTTCATTATTTTCACCTGTAGATGGAAATAATTTGGTTAATTGGAATAGTGTACAATTACACTGGATTACAGCTGAATCAAAGGTATTATTATTTATTATTACATTTTGCCAATTAAGTTTATCCTTTGAAAATTGTGTGCATGTATTGAAGCATACCAATTGTACTCACCCACATATAACACTACTGATTGCCGCCTGCCCTCCACTTTTCCCTTTAGCTCTCTTCCTCATATTTATGACTAGTTGTTTTGCTTTGGGACCCTCTGAGTCTAACCCAGAGCTGCCCCTGTGACCATGAACCAGCTCCATTTTAATAATTTTAAAGGACTCTCATATTAAGTTTCATAGTGGCTATAGCAATGGTAATCTCTCCTGGAATAACTAAAGGGTCAAAGATATCTGGTAGCTCATAAAATTGTGCCAGTGAAAGTAATTGTGGTTGATTTAATGTCCACCCTGGTGCCCTCTTGTTTAAGATGAAAAAATTCCTTTATTTTTCAGACCTTGCACATATGACCCTGAACTTTAAGTCACGAGCCCCTCATCTTTCAATTTGTGAACAGGTTGTCATAAATCTCTACTTCTCCCTTAGATTCTGTTAATGATTCCATCGTTATGGATCAAAGATTTTCAAGCATTTCTCTTCATTACCCTGACCTTTTCACCTGTTTGTTTTCACGATCATTAGTCAGCCACTGGGGTTTGAGCCAAGGGGACCTGCCCTTCAATTAATCATTATTTTGAGTAACCTCTTTAACTGTTGCCCCAGATGCCTTTACATTCCTTTCTTGCTTTTCTGCCACCCTCCCCCAGTTCTATCTCTTAATGTAACTTTAGCCTTTGGATTTCAGCAGTTTTCCAGATTGAGACAAAAGTCCTTTAGCATTGGTGTTATAAGCATGGAGGTTGGATGGCTAGACAGGCATTAGGTTTGGAGTCCATGGAGGATAAATTCCTTCTTAAGATTAGATTTGGACCCCCACTTTCCATTTCCCTGGTAACATAATAAAGGGAAGCATAACTTTGCCACTCCTTAAGATTTAAAATATCACAAGAAATGATGGAGAGTGGTGACGTTAGGGGTTTGTTGAGATCAATTAATCTACTTCTTGGTCACAAGAATAGAACCTAGTTCTACCTCTGATCATGGGTGGATGATGTAGGAGGTCCTTCTGTCTGTGTTTCTTTCACTGGTTAATAAAGAAACTATGTTGGCCTAGTTTCTTGGTACCTAGAACCTAGGCAGGAAAGACAGAACTGAATGCTGTGAGGAAGAAAGGCAGAGTAGGGGCAGAGGCACCATGGAGCCACCAGAGACAGACATGCTGAAACTTTCCCATAAGCCACTACCACGTGGCGATACACAGATGAATAGAAATGGGTTAAATTAAGATGTAAGAATTAGCCAATAAGAAACTAGATCTAATGGGCCAAGTAGTGATTTAATTAATACAGTTTCTGGGTGGTTATTTTGGGGCTAAGCTAACCGGGCAGCCAGGACGAACAAGCGAGCCCACTCTGCAGCAGGTGGATGTGTAACATTCTGCATTGCCTCAAACTTATGATTGTAAAGTCATACTACTGTCCCCTTCTTAAGATTTTGTCCACCTTGGCTTGTCAATCACCTGGGCCCAAGATGACCCACCCAGAAAAGCTGATACACCTAAGCACATACCCCTCCCCTGTATATGCACACACAAATGGATGCATGTCCCCTCCTTTGCACACGCACACACACACACACACATGCATGCACATCCTCTCTCCTGGACACATGTTTGAGCACACACAAATAATTATGTGCAGGTCAAAAGTCACCATCAGGTGTCTTCCTCAATATTTTTTTCCCTTTTTTTTTTTTTTTGTAACATGCCTCTCCCTGAACCTGGAGCTCATGGATTCAGACAGACAGGGCTCCTCCTAGCTCTACACACCCCTAGTAATAGTGTGACAGGTTTATATTGCCCTGCCTATTTTTACATAGGTGCTGAGGATTTGAACTTGGGTCCTGGTGCTTAAGTGCATTGTTGACTGTCTTAGTTATTTTTCCTGTTGCTGTAATAAGGTACCCTGACAGAAGAAATTCATGGAGGTAAGTGAGGATGGAAGGAAGAAAGAGTGGGTCGGTTTACTTTTGGCTCAAAAAAGGGCACAATCTTATGGTGGGACCTTAAGGAAATAGAAGCTTGAACATCTGGTCACACTGGGTCCACAGTCAGGAAGAAAAGACTATTCACTACCTAATTTCCCATTATTTGCATGATCTCTGTGCCTTTTGTGCCTATTTGGACATCTCTTTCTCAGGATCTGGGAAGTTTTATTGAAAATATTTTCTATGCATTTGAATTAGGATCCCCGCTTAATCTAAACTCATTGATTTGGTCTTTCAATGTTTCCTAAAGGTCCTTCATGTTCCATTTATGAGTCCTTTTAACTCTTTTTTTTTTAGTGAGAAATCCAATCCCATCATCTTGTTTTCAAGCCCCAATACTCTATCTTCACATAGTCCATTCTGTTGGTGAGGCTTTCTATTGAACATTTTATTTCACAACTATATTTTTTTTCATTTCCAGCTTCATTTCCATTTGAATTTTCTATTTATTATTTATTCTGCTTTCATAACAAGAACTGATGCTCTGCTCCATTCACTTCTTTCTCTGTGCAGGCTTTCTTGAAATGTGCTCTGCTTATTTCTGTCTTCTCTACAGTTATTCCGTTCTCAGTCATGCTTTTTTTGAATTCTATCAACATGTTTGTATTCGTTCTTTTCTTAGAACAATGGTTTTATTTCTTCTTTGAGAATTTCATCTAATATAGTTTAGTCATACTCATTCCCTTCTCCAAACTTCTCCCAGAAGTGGGTCTCTGTGTTCACTGTGCAATGAAGCTTTTCTGATGAGAACTGAGTGATACTCTGATTTATGGGTATAGCAATATGTCATTAGGATTCATTTTGGTGCTGTGTTCATCTAGCAGATAAATACCAGGGGCTTTTCCTCTAGGGCCATGATCTAGCTAGCCTTGGGTTCACAGCCTTCGTTATCAGTGTTAGGTATCCATCGACTTAAATCTAATAATAAAAAATGCCTCGTTACTCCAATAACATTTGTGCCACTATTGCGCCAGTGGGTACATCTTACCAGATAGATGATTATTCTAGCTGGCGAGGAGTGTAGCTGTGTAGACTGATGATTACATTTTTCCTCTGCTCGTATGTATAGGACCTCCCAGCACTAAGAATATTATCCAGAGCAGGGCAGTGGTGGCACATGCCTGTAGTCTCAGCACTTGGGAGGCAGAGACAGGTGGATCTCTGTGTGGCAGCCTGGTCTACAGAGTGAGTTCCAGGACAGGCACCAAGGCTATAAAGAAAGTCTGTCTTGAAAAACGACAACAACAAAAAGAATGTTATCCAGTAAGGTGAAGCTTCTGTTTGTGTACCAACTATATGTCTCCATGTTCTATGATATAATTATGTTGTATTGTCTTGGTCATTGCTCAGTTGCTGTGAAGAGACACCATAATCATTGCAAGTCTTGTAAAAGAAAGCATTTTATCAGCATGACTTACAGTTTCAGACGCTGAGTCCCTTAGTCATCATGGTGGGAAGCATGGTGGTATGCAGGTAGACATGATGCTAGAGGAGCAGCTGAAGATTCTACATCCAGATCCGTAGGCAACAGGAGGAGATGGGATTGGCTTTTGAAACTTTAAAGCCCACCCCATAGTAACACTCTTTCTCCAACAAGGCCACACCTACTCCAACAAACTCACACCTCCTAACCTTTTTTTTTTTTAATTTTGGAAACCAGAACATTTATTTTATGACAGATCGAAATCCTCAAGATGAACTGGATGCTGCAACAGCTGCCCTCTTGGGTTTAGGGGTTGTCCCTTCACGGAATCCATGCCTGAATCTTCGGTAGACAATTTTTAGGTGCCTCATCTGCCCAGTCCCGGTAGTGTTTCGTCTCTTAGCCTTGGCACTCCAGTTATACTTTCTCTTGCGCTTGGCAGGGTAGCCGCATTTGCCACAGGTAGACTTCTGAAGGTGGTAGGCCTTAGAGCCACAGCGGCGGCACAACGTGTGCGTCTTGTTGCGATGCTTTCCGAAGGAAGACGTCCCTTTCGTCATCTTGCTTCTGCCGCTGAGGCCAAAGAGACCGGAAGAGAAAGCACTCCCGCTACTTCCTCCCTCCTAACCTTTTAAAACAGTGCCACTCTCGAAGCATTTAAATACATGAGCACGTGTGGACCATTCTCATGCAAACCACCACAGGTATCTTTAGCAATAGGATCTCGCTATGAAGTTTCTGGAGGGTAACCGATAGCATTGGCTGTAATATTTGGGAGCATGTGGATGAGACCCTACTGGCAAACAATTCAAAAAGTTGTAATATATTCTTGGTATTGAGGTTTTATTTGCTATCTTATAATGTAGAGTTAGGATTCTGTAACCTTCCCATTGTATGGTAATTTCACTTAAATTCCCTTTATCCATGCATATGTTGTGCGTAGGTTTGCATATTTTCCATATGGTTTCCCTAAAGGCCTTTAGTGTCACTTATCCCTCCCCACATCCCCATTCCCCCCTTTACCCAGCTCTCCTCTCACTCTCTCACTTAGTCGTCCTATTCTAGTATATCCCTTTGTAACACTATGTTCTATTTTCTCTTTCTTGGATGATCCCTTTGCTCATTGTCCCTTCCAACTACCTGCTATGGGTATTCTAAATGAAACACACACATATAAAAACACGCATAAACAAAGCATAAAAGCATCCATACATGAGAAAACATGAAATGTTTGTCTTTCTGGGTTTGAGTTGTTTCACTTGGGATAAGTTTTTCTAGATCTATCCATTTACCTGCAAATTTCATTTTTTCTCAGCAGTTGAATGATATTGCACTGTGTAAATTTACCACATTTTCATTACCCACTCATCAGTAAATAGATATCTAGGCTGTTTCAAATTTCTGGCTGTTGTGACTAGATCAGCAATGGACGAGCAAGTGTTTCTGTAGTAAAATATAGAGCCTTTTGGGTAACTGTCCAAAGTGATAGATCCTACTTTCAGATTTTTGAGAAACCACCACACAGATTTACATAGAGGTTGTACCAGTTTGCACTCCCACCAGCAATGGATAAGTGTCCGTCTTTTCTGAATTTTTATCAGCATCTTCTGTCATCTCTTTTATTAGTCTTGGCAATTGTTACTGCAGGGAGATGAAATCTCAGAGTGATTTTAGTTCATATTTTGTATTTGCCTGATAACTAAGAATGATGAACATTTTAAAAGTGTTTCTCATGCAGTCATAGTTCTTCTTTGAGAACTCTGTTTAGGCACATGCCTCATTTTAAAACTGGATTATTTGTTTTCTTGACACTCAGTTTTTTTGAGTTGTTTCTGTGTTCTAGACTCCACTCTAGGAGCTGGCATGTGCTTTGTGAGGTTCTGCAGCAGAAAAGGGGTGCTTCTTTGATTAGGAGCACACGGCTGTTTCAGGAGTGGGTAGTTGCTCTGTGCAGTTCTGTGGTGCTTGAAAGTTTGCTTGGTATAGAAGGGTGTCAGGCTCTTACCTCAGTACTAGGCAGGTACTCTCCATGGTCCTGCAGCTGTCGGGCAGTGGGTTTCTAAGCTTGGCTTTAGCCTTGCCTCTGACCTTATATTCAGGGAAATGTTCTTCATGATTAGTGGTGGGGTGGTATGTATTGGGGTTATCATAGGGGCTAGCTCCTGACCTGACTAGTGTTTGGGTTGTCTGTATGGTGCAGCAGAGGCTAGGGGTGGGTGTCAGGGTCAGCAAAGTCGTCAGCCTTTGACTTCAGTTGTGGGTAGTGAGTGCTGGTGCTCTCTTCTGGCCTGCAGGCATACATGCAGCCAGAACACTGCATACATAATAAATAAATTTTAAAAAAATAAAACATCATCAGTAGATGATATGAAAAATGTTCTCTTTGCAATATTAATATAACATACACATTTTTATTGCTCTTTTTCCACCACAAGAAACAAGGATGATGGAGAGTCACAGTCTGAATCTTTCTGAAGGGGATCCAGCCAGATCCGAACAGTTGATAGTCTATCACATCCCCATGGATGGAGATTAAATTTTGGCAGAACATTTTGGTAATGACTTCATCTCCCATACAATTGTTCCCTAAGTTCTACTTTGCTTCCTGTGCTAAGGTGAGTGAGTATTTGCTATTATGAAGGAATCTCAGGGGACATTTTCCTATTTGGTGAAAGAGAGTGGTTGCTTTTCTGTCGTGGTGAGAAAATACAATGTCCAGGGCAATCTGCAGAAGGAAGAGTGTATTTGGGCTGGTTGTAGAGAGAGAAGAGGCCTTCTTTCAGGTGCTGGCTGGAGACTAAGCATTTGTTTGTGATGCCCTGATTTTATTTATGCTTTCCTTGAAGCCTCTTTTTCTCTTTGGCCATGCAACCGTTTGTCCACCATGCAGCTGACCTCCATGCTTAACTCGAACACCATGACTCCCTTTCAAGTTTTTAAGCCCCCACTTATGAATCTGTAATAAGCTTTCCTCGAAACTAAAGGAGAGATGGATAGATAGATAAATGGATAGATAGATAGATGGATAGATAGGTAGATAGATAGATGGATGGATGGATAGACAGATAGATGGATGGATAGATAGAGGAGTTAAAAAGCATTGCTTGGGAAGGGGAGTTTTATCTTTTATTCTTTTCTGTTTTGACAGTCTCATAATGCACACAGTGTGTTGTGAGCATGCTTACTCCTGTTATCCTCTCTCATCTCCACCCCACTCCCACCTATCCTCCTCCTGCTCTTCCTCCTCCCCTCAACCAATCTTTTTCCTACTCCTTGTCATTTTTGGTAGAGATTTTGAGCACAGAGCCACAGTAGCTGTGCGTTTGATGATTACAAAAATTATATCATTACAAAATTTTGTAACGTTTTCCTTTCCTCTGGTTCTTAAAACATTTCACCTGTTTTGTGATGTTCCCTGGGATTTGAAGGGGTCGATACAGATGTCCCCTTTAGGGAGGAGTAGGTAATTATCATTTACTCTGTGTGATTTGACTGGTTAAGAGATCTGTGTTCACCATTGTCAACTACAAAAGGAGAGTCTGGCCAAGGGGAAGAAGAGCCTCAGTCTGTGGGTAGAAGCAGAAGCATGCACACAGATCGACTGTGTCCATTTGTCAAACTAGAGTAGAAATTCTCCCTTGGACTTGTGACCTCACACATCATACAGGTGTTTGTCCAGGTTTACGACATCAGGTGTGTACTTTCTTTTATAGAGCAGACCTCAAATCTTATCAGTAAAGGTTGATTGCCACCTAAGCAGTCATACCACTTGGGGACTTCCTCCATTACAGGCCAGTCAGCTTTGTACTCTCATCTGGGTAACTGTACAAATGATTCCTCCACAGAAGCTTCCTTGCTCTAGGAACATGAGCCAACGTGGAGGAGGTTCACAGGTCCGTTCCAGCTTTGTTTTCCTGTGTCTCACATCTGAAATGTGCTGTCTTCAGCAATAGTGGCTAATCATCTGATTCTGGTGGACGACTAAGATCAATGGTAATACTCTTTGTTTTGGAAGCCTCTGAGGGTTCCCTCTCCAACAATTCATATGGAGGTATCCTACACTTAACATTGGGATTTTTACTTAGAAATCTGTGGCTTCTTGGATGAGCATATCTACTTATTTCATAAAACCTTTAAGAATTAGTCAAATCCTTTAAATCTTAGCTTATACAGCAATAGGTTGTAATACAGATTTTTAGACAACTTCAGGCTTGGTTGACAACAACCCAAACCCTACCTTTTTTCCATGCGCCCACTTATGTCCTTGTTTACAGCTAGTATTCACACCTTGACTTATATATGGTGCATATTTTACTGACTCTCCCACCACTGTCACTCCCCCTGCCCCACCTATATGACCACCCTCTTCCTTCTTGACATCTACAGATGCTACAACTTAAACATAAAAATTTTAAATTTTGAAGGTAAGATTTGCATATGATAGAGAATCTATGATGTCTATTTCTAGGTGTAGGTTAAGTGTCCCCATATAACAATTTTTAGTTCCATTTATTTTTACAAAAAATTATTTCCCTTTAGTGCTGTATGGAATTCCATTGTGTATATATACATCACATTTTAATTATCCACTTATCCATTGATCAGTAATAGACATCTACACTGATTCAAGTTCCTAGATAATGTAACAGGGATGTGCAGGTGTTTACTATAGGATATTGAGTCCTTTGGGGACTTTCTAGGCCATGTAGTAGTTTAATTTTTAGCTTTTTGAGAAACTGGCAATGTGATTTATATAGTGGGTGAGCAAGTTTACACTTCCACTTACATTGAACGAAAGTTCCTCTCTCCCCATACTTCCCCAACATCCTACGCTGTGTTGTAGGCTTTAACTACAAACAAAAAGTGGTTGATCACTCCTATAACATTCATGACACTGTTGCACCAGTGGGAATATCTTGCCAGGTCAGTCACTATTATAGCTCACAGGGCTCACAGCAGGGTAGGGCTGCTGAATACTTCCCCCCAGTAGTGTTACTAGAATCTTCTGGCACTGTGAAAGTTATCCAGGAGTGATGAAACTTCCAGGTCAATGCTAACTTGATGTCTCTATCTCTTAACTCAATAAATAGGGTCTTACTGTCATTCTGGAGGGTACCCAAGAGCATACACCACAAAAGAGATAATAAATACTTATCACTGGTCTGTCCTATCTGAAAGAGCCACTTTGCTCCCTCCCATTGTAAGGTAACTCCATTTTCTTTTTATATAGTTATATGCAATACACATATTTAAAAAGATTTTTTTAGATGTATGTAAGTGTGCCTGAGTGTGTTTATGTAGAGATAGGAGCAGCTGGGCTCCGTCCCCGGCACCCGGCCGCCCGCATGGCTAGGTTATGCCCTGAAATAATTACACGGAAACTGTATTCTTTTAAACACTGCCTGGTCCGGCTAGTTCCAGTTTCTTATTGGCTAGCTCTTACATATTAATATAACCCATTTCTAATATTCTGTGTAGCCCATGAGGTGGCTTACCAGGGAGGATCTCAACCTGCATCTGTCTGGCGTGGGAGAATCATGGAGACTCCCTGACTCAGCTTCTGTCTCCCAGCATTCTCTTCTGTTTACTCCACCCACCTATGTTCTAACCAATAAAATGGGCCAAGGCAGTTTCTTTATTATAATTAACCAATGTCATTCCTCCATCATGTTTATGTGCACCATGTGGTTGCAGGTGA